CTATCTACTGCGAGGATCGTGCATCATACGTATCTAATCCCGCAGTTCAAAATATATGAACCTCATATATTCATTGTATCTCAAACCAATCATTGAAAGGATTCACACCAATTGAGAGCAATTTCTAGAAGGCCGGGTAATATCCTGATCATGCAGATCCTTTGTGACATCAGGGAAGATGATAGAAAAATCTGGAAACATAATTTCTGTTACTGATACAAGTATCACTGAATTGAAAAAAAGGAACCTAACAGAAAACTTGTTATAAATAATAATAGGTCTTAATTCATTCCCGCTATTGATCAACGCATATGCTTGAGTGATTGTATAATTATTTTTAAAACTAACACTGACAGGAAAGAATACTTATAAAGAGAAAACAAAAAGGTAGAGCTATATTGGCTCACAGCAACATCTTGGTGAAATTCTGTCAAACTTTTGTAACTTCCTTACACAATTTTTTTAACACTTTTTTCCTGACCTTTGCAAAGTTATCTTTCTTCATTTCCTTGCACATATCATGCAGTTTTGACTTAATTGCAATTCTTCTATAGACTGTGACAGGTTACCAAAGCATAACTCCGTCAGAGTCAGTCATAATATGAAATTAGTGGCAAACAATCTCTTCTAGCCAATTCATTTAAAATATTATAATAGCAGTTCCTTCATAGGAAACCAAAGCTATATTTGCACATACCTACATAATAAGCAGTTGCCATAATAATAAAAAGTACCCATTCAATAAATAAGTAATTCTTTTGATTCATTTGGACCACAAAACATTTAAATTTCGAAACCAAAATAAATATCTGGCATTCATATGTTAATTTGCCGCTATTGACAAGTTGAAGTAGCTAGGGTTAACTTAATTTGCCTAAAAAGTGTAAAGGATCAATACGGGTAACAAAATTAATTTCCTTAGAGATGCATTAAAAAAAAAAAAAAAAACAGAAAAACCCTTTGCTTTCAAATAATTACCAATCGGTTGTGATGATTCATTTCAATGGCGTAGACATTGTTCAAGAGTTTGTGTACATTTCTTTTGGATTTTGCTACATTCCATGGCGGATTCGTTTGAGGATTGTATTGGACTCATCCTTGACGAGTTCGTGCATAAATAACTCGGAAGTAAAAAAAATGTTTCTCACGAGAAACTACGATGAAGCTGAACTATGTGAACACTATCACAGAGATTGTTTTTGCTGCTTCTTGTACCTTGAATGAATTAACTCATAAGCTGAAATAAGTCTTTTAGTTGTGAATTGAATTAGTCTTCTGTCTCTCACGGTTACGAAACGAATCATTTATTTGAAGGCCTCATATGACTACAAAAAAATAATCTGTGATCGTCGAATGAGCGAAGACCACTTTCGTATGAAACTCCCTTCTCGCACAAAGTCAAACCGTGTTAGAACTGTAGTTTTCTCTGAATAAATATTACAAAATGTCAATATTTACAACGCTGGCATTGCGGAGTCAAAGATATATCTCAGAAATCCTGCTGTGAAATCCTAAGCCATTTGAGAAGGGATCTCATAAACAAAACTTCTTATGAATTCTTTTTTGTCTAAGCAACAAGATCACACACCTGAGAAACACAATCCGGTGAAGAATCATCCGGTATAGATTCGTAATCGCTAGAAACACGGACTTTGGGTGGATGAAACTTCAACCAGTGATCTTGAAGCTTCGAGGCACTCGGAAAGTCGACCAAACATGCTGGGCAAATGAAGCCTTCAAGAGCTGTGTTTGCAGCTTTGTTCATTCCATTCAAAACACAGCTGAGTAATCGATAGATAGAATTGATCACATAAAACAAACACGGGGCAATGTATCCCAAGTCAGTGCACCATATTTTCGTTTTTTGAAGGCATCTGGTTTCTGAGCCAATGGGTAGCAAATCAATAAATATTACTTGGTTATCAAATCAATAACATTCCACTAAAGATCATAACAAACATACCGGAAACTTGCTTTGTCTGGTAACAGGAAAGCACGTATGAAAGAAAGGAAGTCGTTAAACAGAGAATCTCTGGCGGCTGTTCGCAAGAACGGCAAATTAATCAAATGCTAATTAAAATAGAAATTTCAGGGACGTGATGACAACGCGTGATTCGATATTGACCAAATTCCACCTTAGAAAATTTATTTTAAAACGACGAAAATATAGCTAGTGTTTCGCCCTCACAATACAACGCTAAAGGCACTCAATTTTTTTTTCGACGAGTGTGTCAAATCAGTCTTTGATATTCGATGTTTAGACTTTCTCCATAGCCTTAAAAAAATGTAGAGCTGATATATCGGATCGATTGCGTTACCTGTCACACATAAGTCTTGAAAAATCGTCACAGATGTCCATTGACGTCAGTGGTTCTTACAGTGCAAAGATGAACTGTGAGTTCCTTAAGAGTTCCTGACATTTTTATATGTTCTTTTCACCTTTCCTTTGGGGTTATCGTTGTTGTTTTGCACTCTTAATCGACTGACGTACTTCGACTCAGGTTAGCCATGCCAGATGCGGAGGAGACCGAAAAGAAAACACCAATGAATTTTATATTACTTTGCGATTTTTATAATTTATTTTAATATTCAGACAGAACATAGCCTGAGTTTCGGGTATACTTTTACCACCCGATTGCATTATTTGTAAGATGTCCATGGGGATAAACGAATAGAATGAAAGGGATATAAAGTACTGGGAAAAGTAGGAACGTGTTGCTAATTATAATGTAAAGCGCGGGAAAAAACTTGTGACTGTCTTATGAGAGTCTCGTGACTCACGAGTTGTCTGATGCAAGTCATAATTGACCAATCAGATCACGCGAAAATATCATTATCCAATCAAATGCATAGTAGCAGGACTCAAACCAGCAGAATAAATACTCGCAGTCTCTGCGTGGAATACTAGAACAAACTAAACCAAAAAAGAACTTGTTCGCTGTACTTAAGAACATTCTCTGTTATTTCATCAATTGTAGGTAATCCTGTAGTGTAGAAGGTGAGTACTGGCTTATTTTCATTATTTGTGATCGATGTGAGGAAAAGTAACTTGTGTTTTAGCACTTTTAACATCGAGAAGTTATTAAACAATGAGTTGAAGAAAGTCTTCGTAAAATCCTCCTGTGCCGGCAATTTATTTTTGCTCACTTTCGCTTCAAATTTTCGCGATTTTTCTATGATTATTTCTGTTTGATCGTCAAGGACTTGAAAATAGAATAGATAACCTTGGTAATAGTTTATGCTCTGAAATTTTTGCCCTTAACGCAGAGGTACATTCAACCATTGATTGATAACAGTCATTACACTTCAATGGCCAAACTTCAATTAAAACAAAAATCTTTCACGATCGCTCTCGTCAAACGCACTTTTTACATGCCTCAATGTGATCTGATTTCTCGGTTGACATTTTTTTTTTAAGACGACGCAAACAAAAAACACTCTCAACTACTTCAAATCTTTGCATCACATTATGTGCTGCAGAAAGATTAGACGAAAAGATTTGCAACATTGAAGTGCTATGACGTAAATTTACGCCTCGTGGTTGAACTCAGACAAGCAAAATGAATGATTACATTCCCCACATTACCAGATAAGCCTATGATCGATGTGTTTTCCAGCTAACATCTGAGGCGATGAGTTTGTTTTTTCAATAACCCTCTATTTCTAAGAGATGATTAACTTCCAAATTCTCCCCAAGATATCCATAGATAAATCTCATAAACAGGTGATGAGAATGGAAAAAATTTATCAGCATTTGTTATTTCCTTGATCTGACATAAATTGATAGAGATATTTTAAGGAGATCATGTCTGTCTTTATAGTTTGTTCTCAGATTAAAGTATTAAATCTCCCTACTTATGTGAGGGGGCATTGGGATTTTCAGTTTTGCAGTTTGACCCTTTTTTCAAAACGAAAACTGCCAGTTCAGTTAATCAGTTTTTGTGCCTCAAAACGGTTTTGGTGTTCATTTGGGTTTGCAGATTTTCCATTTTTTAGCATTTGGTTTTAGGTTTTCGTCAAAAATGCTAACAGGTATTTGGTATGTGATGTGGTTTTCAGTTTTTCTTTTTTGGGTTCTGGTTTCTCTTCAATCTGAGCAGCAATCATGCAACTCCACTGATCTTAAATAGCCACAAAAACCTCTGCATACACCACTTGTATGTATATGTGTATGTATGTATGTCACCACTGTATTGGATCAATTAGGGTTTTGATAACTGGGATGTGAAAATTTATTGGTTTTTCAGGCAGTTTTCATTTTGAATGAATTTTTTATGGTTTAGGATGCCCCCTCTTATATGTAAGGATATCAAGCAGTCAGAAAGGGGAGTTAGTGATTTGATCATGGCAATGAATAAAATCAAACTTTGATCTTTTCTTCCCTTACTGCAGATTCATCATGAAGTGTTTAGTTCTACTAGCTATCTATCTTGGAATTTCATCAGCCTGGCCAGCTGACAAACAAAAGCTTGATGCCCTTCAAGATCCCAGCTGGAAAGCTTGGAAATTTCTCCACAAAAAAGAGTATGAAAACAATGTAGAAGAGAAAGTGCGGAACTTTATCTGGCAAGACAACCTGAAGAGGATTGTTTCACACAATGAAGCTCACAAATATAAACTAGCTATGAATCACCTTGGAGACTTAGTAAGTTAAACCTGTGACTGCGGCAATCATAACTTCCTAACACAATAAGGAGGCAGTGTGGCTGAGTGGTCAGCGCGTTGGACTTGTAATCCACCACTCCCGCTTTTGAGTCCTGCCCTGACCACTACCTGGATTTGTTTCACTGTAGCTCCGAGTTCAAATCCTCGGCACAAAAAAAACTAAAATTAATGCATGCAAAAATGACTAACTGAAAGTGCAATTGATGCCAATAATTGTGAAAGAAACAATATTGAATGAAAGTATGTGATATAAAAAAACAACAGAAGCTAACTAACCGGTGAAAAAAACACTATTAGACAACGAGAAACAGCAACAACACAAAAGTGTGACACCCTAATTAATGATTGAATACAATCCTCATGCTGAGATCTTACAAAACCCTTCCAAAACCAGGATCTCGCCAATAATTCCCCTGTTCGTCTAAGATATATTTCTCATAATGTTGCTGTAATTATTTTTAGACATCCCAAGAAGTAAAAGAATTGTTGAATGGTTACAAGACAAGGAAAAGTATAGCAGGCTCTAAAGAAAAGGCTTCCACATTTCTGGCACCATCAAATTTGAAGGTTCCTGACTCTGTTGACTGGAGAAAAGAAGGTTATGTTACTGCTGTTAAGAACCAGGGGCATTGTGGATCATGCTGGGCATTCAGTACAGTAAGTATTTTAATCAACAACATTTCTCTTAATCATTTAATGCTGTGAGGTGTTTAAAGTGCACCTAAACCCAAAAAATTTTTTTCGCTTAACAAAATAAGCTTCTTTTTTGAAGTATTTCTGTGCAAAAATTTTTCAATTTACTCAAATGTTTAATTTTCTGTGCCCAGTCAAAGTACGGAAAATTGGCCGCCATCTTGCCCCACAACCGAGAATAAAGAGGAATGGCTCTAGCGGGTAATGTGACGTCAAATCGAGAACACAAAAGTCTGCATTTCACACATTTTCACTTGTTTGGGAAGGTTGTCATCGATATTGTCCGAAATATGCCGACTAGGTGTGTTGTATGAGGAATGTATGAAGCGCGAAACCCTCTTGTAAAGTTCGCACGTTTCTACCTCTTCCAGCAACACACTTGGTCGGCATATTTTCGGACAATATCGACTACAACCTTCTCAAACAAGTGAAAATATGTGAAATGCAGACTTTTGTGTTCTCGATTTGACGTCACATTACCCGCTAGAGCCATTCCTCTTTAAAATCGGTCGTGGGGCAAGAGGGCAGCTGATTTTCCATATTTTGACTGAGCACAGAAAATTGAAGATTTGAGCAAATAAAAAAATTTTTGCACAGAAATACTCCAAAAAATACCCTTATTTCGTTAAGTGAAAAAAATTTTTGGGTTTAGCTGCACTTTAAGGCACATGGATCATAGTTAGCTCAAGGCTTCTTTCCCAAAAATAGATTCAAATGCTCTTGAATCTTATTCTTAGCCCCCTCCAGGCTTCTTATCAAGAGCTAATTTTGAGTATTGCCACAGGATTGAGACGTTGGTAAAATCAACTGAGTCAACTTTACACCCACAATTTCAAGCCAAAAGAAATTTGATTGGAAGATTTGCTTTGATTTTCATAATGGAGAGCTCTTGTACAGAATAGCCAGCCAACATAAAGGAGAACATGTCTGTAAGCAGTACTTTTCACTGTCAGCTGACTACTTTTGACAATCCTGGTTTTTCCACTAAACATCCCTGTTACTAAGAATAATTCCTTAGTTAATAAAAGGTGCACAAAAAATTTAAGCAAATGTTACAAGAATGACCATTTTTTTATTTATTTTCCTAGACTGGAGCTCTGGAAGGACAGCACTTTAGGAAGACTGGAAAACTTGTTTCTCTTAGTGAACAGAATCTGGTTGATTGTTCATCAGCATTTGGTAACAATGGTTGTCACGGCGGTTTGATGGACAATGCATTTAGGTACATCAAAAGCAACGATGGAGTTGATACAGAAAACTCCTATCCTTATCAAGCAAAGGTACAAACATTTCTGTTACATTTCAGTGAAGTTATTTTGGTTTTACATATCCTAGACTTTGCCACAGTTAGCTTTCTTGCTCCAAATCATGGCTCACAATGTTCAATATAAAAGCATGAAAAATCTCCTATTTAGTTTACTCACCCTGATTATCATACACCTGATTTGCTCACCAAAATGTGCTAAAGCACTGTTCTCAAATTCCCTTTGGAATCCAAAGACCACATTGCCATACATTTGTTGGGCATCAAAAAACAAGCTGTTTTGCAGACTAGATATCATCAAGTTAAAGTGTAAATTGGATGCTAGACTTTCCAACAATCTTTCTTCTACATGTAGGTCAGCACTTGTCGCTTCAATGTAACCGATGTTGGTGCAACAGACACAGGTTATATAGATATCACATCTGGCGATGAATCTGCCCTCCAAGCTGCCTCAGCGTCAGTTGGTCCCATCTCCGTAGCAATTGATGCCAGCCAAAGCTCATTTCAGTTCTATCACTCAGGAGTCTACGATGACCCTGCTTGTAGCAGCACCCAACTTGATCATGGTGTCCTTGTGGTGGGATATGGAAATGAGAATGGACAGGACTACTGGCTAATCAAGAACAGGTTTGTTAACCCTCTCACTTCTATAAGTGATTAACATGAAACTTCTCCCTATAATATCCCACATTAGTTAGTATATACTAAAACAGTGGATAGCATCGAAGGCACGCTCTGATTGGCTAGTCAAACTCCGAATATCCTTTGCTATTTACCTCCAAGCAACTCAGGAAAATATTGGCATCCTGGTTTGCATCCATGACAAGCGAAGAAATCACTTGAATTAATGATGGTGGTGTATATTATCTCACTGTTTTAGTATATACTAAAACAATTATTCACCTCAGTGTCGGTGGTTAGCAGTGGATATTTACCTTGGTGCTTCGCAGCTCGGTAAATATTCACCACTAACCACCTCCACTTCGGTGAATAGTTGTTAATTATCCAGCAAACAGGTAATGAGAATACTCAAACTTACCAGGTAGAAGTTGATATCTTGATGTGACACCAAATTCTCCTTGCTAATTTACAAGAAAATGTGTAGCAGCTAGAGGGGAGAGTGAAAAGATCAGATATTGGGAGTTAATCAAAGAGTTGAGAGATTTTGTCAAGTGAGAGGGAAACTAGGCAGCCTTATGTATGGCAATTAGCATTCAGGATTGAAAGTATACATGTGCCTGCAGACCCCAAGCCTGGGCTATACTTTCCACCATATAGTAAAGCTCATGAATGTCATGAGAACTTGTCGCGATATCAAATACCAGAAGAGTGAAATTCATTTCTTTTATCATTTTTCAGTTGGGGACCATTGTGGGGAGAGGAAGGCTTCATCAAAATTGCCAGAAACCAGAACAACAAATGTGGAGTTGCGACGGCAGCAAGCTACCCCTTGGTTTAGGTGTAAGCTGTGATAGGAAATGCAGAAAAATAGGCTACAAAAAAAATTAACTGCTTTGTAATTGCTTCAAATTAATTTTGTTTTCCTATTTGTAAGATAATCAACACAATATTTTCACCAAATGTACAAGAACATTGTCATAGCTCTTATTATTGATATACATGACTGGTACCTTGATTATGGATTTCTGGAAGAAATTTTTTTACATGGATCAAACAGATTGTTCTTTTGGAAGTCTACATGATTGGCATCAACTTGCCATATTTCTCTGTGGAACCGATATTTCCACTTGAAGACCTTAAGCACTATTTAAGAGATATTTAATATATTTCAGTGGAAATGGAACATTTATATTTGATACGTTACTGTTACATACTGGTTTCTACCTTCAAATATTTTCCTTATTTAAGCCTTTCTCCAACTAGGAAATAGGAGACAAACCATCTAGTTAGTTGGCTCTGGAGATTTAAAATCTTTTTTTCTGAAATTTATGTGTGGGTTAACCCTATGGCCCCTAATAGTGACTAGCATCTAATTGTTCCTTACAATATCACCTCTGAATTAAACATGAAGATCACAAGAATAAAGGAAATGATCACCAACCAGAGGAGCTCTTGATTGTTAACAAATTCTCTTTAGGTCAGCATCTTGGAAATGTATAGAGAACAGTATGGAGAATATACATACTGATGTTGAGATGTAAAGGGTGAATTGTTTGACAATTTTGTTTGAGTAAAGGAGTTTCCTCTAGTGTTTGTTGTGTTTTCCTGTGTTATGTGCCAGTGCAGCATACTTTTTACTGATAATGTGACAAAATTGAAAATGTTGGAACACTCCCTGGATAAAACTGAAAGGTTTACCTTTGCCACGAGCATTTTCAGTGCATTATAATTTCATTGTTCAAATATTAATACATATTATTTGGTTAAAATTTTTAACAGGCATTCATAGCTATAAACAAATAAAGTGTGACTCGATGATCATTTTTTCAACATTTTGCTCAGTTTTTTTATGACTCTTGTAGATTATGATTGACGCGAACGCAAGTGTGTTTACTGTAAGTGCCTTAGGCTGTGCTCTAAGAAAAATTAAAGAGAGCCCATTGCTCTGAAACTGAAATTCAGGGTACCAAGCATATGCTTTTGATGAAAAACTAAGATTCTGGAGTCGCCCGAGAGCAAAAGTAAGGCACTAAG